GAGAAGAACTAGGCTTTATGGGGGAAATGCAAGATTGCCAAGCTGTATGTTTTCTTCTTTTCTTTCTTTTTTTGGGGGGGTCAGTTGGCAAATGGGGGTGTGGCAAATAGAAGCTGCCACAGCCATGAATTTAGCTTGCCAAGATTATGCCAAGCCCAATCCTCAGTTGAATTCTCGGTTGCCATGATGTGTGAACCATGGCTGGTTAAGCACCAACACAGAAAGAGAACTCACGGTTTGTTGTTAGCTTGCTTGCTCAGGGTTGTTTAAGCCATGGGTAGCTGTTATGTGTGAACCCAAAACCATGGGTTGTTTTGCCAGGCTACAGAAGGGATGGACAACCCTGATCAGAAGCACCAGCTCCTTTAGTTGCAGCTGTACATTCACTTGCCCTTTTCCAGAACTAGTGGCAAAGCAAAAAATATCCGGCAGCAACAAGCTGGCTTGTTGGATCTCCCGCTTCAAGCTCCGACAACTTAGAACTGCTCCAGGCAGTTCTGGGAGAGTTTTAACGGGCTCCTCCCACACGCATGTCCTCACCCTCCACCAGCACCTCACTAATTAGCGGATCAAGTTACCTGCAGCTGCACAGCAAAGCACAAGCAAACAGTAAAATGCGAATTGAACAGACCTAGCAAAAATACCAGGCTGTGCTCGGCTGCCCGAAAAGCAGTGACTGCCTGGCCTGGAGAAGCCAGATGGCCAGCCTGCGAGGGGGATGCCATCCGAAGGACTTGGCAAGCTCTGAGAGGGTAGAAATGTAGGGGGGCCTGGGAAGCTAGAATGAATCATGGGGGGCGGGGGTTCCCCAGTAGTGCAGCAGAAGCTCTGGAGACCCTAACCTCACTTTTCTCCGCATCAACTGGATGCAGACACATTCAGAGGTGGAAGAACAACTTCAGCTGCCTCTGTGATGTATTACGTAACTGGGGCATATATTGTTCGAGTTCCAGCTACAGGAAACAGATGCGTGTGGACTTCCAAGACCCGGCAGTTCAGCTCCCTTGCCTCCGAGTCAGTGCCTTCCATCAGGCCAAGCTGCCAGACTCATTGGTTACAGGCAGTTGCTGTCCATAAAACTCCTACAGTCCTGCAATACGGAATAAGGAAAAACGTGGCTACAATACTGGGAGACTTCGATTCTCCTTGAGTATCCTTGGGTGTGACTCTAGAAGAGGGGATAACGCTGAGATTGACCACTGGACCATTTTGAGCATGGGGACATGTTCCTAGAACCTGCCCTGTAGGTCTCCGCATGGAAGCCATTTTCTGCCATCCTTCAGGAGAAGGCTTACTTCCTGGCAATTAGAATAGAATAGAATAGAATAGAATAGAATAGAATAGAATAGAATAGAATAGCTGGAAGGGAGCTATAAGGCCATTGCGTCCAACCCCCTGCTCTGCTTCTGCATGTGGTCGCCCATCCGGCTGCAGACCCACCTCTTTCCAGCTTAGCAAAGGTGCCTGGACATGCTGGCTTGGTGGATGGCCAGGTGGGGGAGCGGAAGCATGCTTGAAGGACCGGAGGTACTAGGTTTCTTCTCTGCATGCCTCCACCACAGGGATTTTTCCTGTATTTGAAAACATTGTCAAAAATACGTGAGCGAGCCCATTTCTCTAGAAACGCCCCAAAAGGTTGGGGCAGCTGCTCTGTGTAATTATTTGCAGTTATAAAAAGACGGAATAGGAAGTGGGTTGCTGACATAAAAAGTAACCTCGCCATGTTGATTCATTACTTTAATGGAGGCATAAGTAGGTTGTTAATCTGATTTCCTATATACCTCAGAAGAGTGCCATCTCGTTGGGGAACATCAGGCAAGTTAATACAGCACAAATGCTATTTTTGTATTGCAGATATATGTATTTCATTATGCTATAATCATTGCTCAGGATGGAGAAGATAAGAGTATGTATGAGAGAGAATTACGCTCCTTAATCAGTTATTCAATTACTTCCTCAGAAGAGTTTGAGGCTGCATCTTCACTTGGAGTTTGCATAGTGTCAGAGCACCTGTCACCGGCAAACCGAACGCCCCGGCATTAAAACAAGAGGGGCTAGTCTGTTGATTCTGGAGGAGGAAGAGTGTGTTCTGAAGACACTTTGGGCATCCACCCTGGTGGAAGCTAAGCAGGTCCAGCGCAGGCCTCAACCTGAAGGGGAGACCTGGGAAGCACATCTAGCCACCTTGGGTTCCACAATGGGAGAAAGGCGGGATATAAATATAATTAATAAACGCTAAAAAGACTGACAGTGTGGCAACTGTCAGTGGAGGGAGAGGTTATCCTTACCGCTAAACCAGGGCGATTTCAAGAAGCCAGTTCCCCGAGCCGCTGTGGGCCACGTCCCTGTTGCCGCAGCATCAAATATCCAACAGGAAAGGCATATGTTTTTCAACATTTAAACAAGCATGCTCACTTTGTCCGTTCTGAGCCTCTGTAGGGATGTGCGGCTGGATTTCAGCGCTAAACCGTGACTTTTTCCCGCCACTCCCCCTTTTTAAGTAGGCACTTTGAGGGATGGTGGTCCGTGTGTTACCCACCCCTGTAAATTAAGAACCTGATAGAGGCTTTCAGCTACAGCTTTGTTTTCGCCTAGTACTTCGCAGTAGTCAGATTTCATAGCTTGTTTCATTAAGAGCTCCAACTGGAGAATTTGAGAATGAGAGAGAGAGAGAGAACTTGGTTTTAATCCTAGTTAAGTTTATTGCATTTTCGCTGCTGAAACATGACATTAGTCTATATGGATAAAATCAAAAAAGCTGAAGGACTGAGCGTGTGTGGGGTGGGTAGAATGGTAAATGACGATCAGGAAAGGAATGTACATTACCGATCCCCAGTGGGGGGAAGTCACCGTGGAATCGGTTCAACAGATTTGCTCCTTCACGTGTAGCGAAGAAACTGGAGAGGATAAATAAACACAGAGCAGAAATTACCGTCTGCCTCTTTCTTAATTCAAAAGGCATTATCTGCAATAGTAACCGTGGCACAAGGCTGCAGCACTGTAAATTAAACAGCAGCTTTTTATAGGGCTGACTTGGGTGCCTATAGCGGGAAGAGACAGGTGGTAAGCAGAAAACTTTGCACAAGATCTATTGCTCTGTGTCTCCACTGATCCAAGAGGACAGAACTCTGAGGGCAGTGCTGCAAAGGCATGCAGGTAGAGACTGGCAGGGCCTTTGGAATAGTTGCTGTGTTTACGGATGCGCAGGCAGGAAATACTGAAGTCAAATACATTGCTGCACAAGCAGCGTAACTTCCAAACCTGCATCAGATTCCCAGGAAGAGCACTTGTCCTTTGGGAATGCTTCAGCTTCCCCCAGCATCTGTCCAGACGGAATTGGCTCGCTTGTTCTTGCTGACTTTGTCCCTCTCGCTGAGCAAGGGCTGGAGAGAGAGATTCAGCCCCACCGGGCATCCTTAATCCTCCTTCAGCCCCTCGATTGCTAAACGGGCAGTGCCATTTACTCCCTCCTTTTCTCTTAGCAACTGCTCTGGTCTCCTCTCTGCAAATTTGGAAATCGGGCATTTACTCTAATTGCCAAATCGTAATAGGGCAGTTGTTATAATAATAATCATCTTTCCAGGATCTGTGAGAGAAGTATCAATACGTTGCATGATAAATACCTGATGAGTTAAAAGGTTTATGAACACGGTCACCATATACTGCAGTCCCCCTAACTTTATTTTCACTTACCTGGGAATTCAATTCCATTGAAGTAGCAGGACTTGCTTCTGGGGAGCTTTTATCAGATTGCCCTGAAGGACAAGCCTACTCATTGCAGGCCAAGAATGAGCTGTCTTTTAGGGAACGTGCCCAACCATTTCATGATGGATGGGTGCATTTTGGGAAGTTTTCCTTCCTGCTTGTCCTTTTGAATGGCTTGTGTGGGTTTTTAAAGAAGTTGAAGGTGTTATTAGCAGCAAAACTAGTAATTGCAATTGGAGAAACAAGGACAGTTCTCGGTCCCACAGCTGAGTACTGGGATATTTCAACCCTACACACATAACTACGCTCAGAAGATACTAAGAAAAAGGCTTACAATACCAAAACCTTGAGTCAGTGGTTTTGTTCTGTTTTTGTTTTCCTTTTGCTACTCTGGAATAATAACAAATGTGTGTTAAGTGACCCTTTCCACGAATCTGTGGTGCAACCACACGTGGGCAGCGCCATTCAGTTCTGGTCACCGCATCAAAAACTGGATATTACGGAGTTGGACAATGTGCAGAAGTGGGCAGTTAAAATGAAAACAAGGTTGAAGCAATTCCTCTGTGAGGAAAGGGGGCAACATCTGGGGTTGTTAGGCTTAGAAAAAAGGTGAGGAAGGGGAGGCACGATGCAGACATGCAAAAGTAGGTAATGTGTAAGGAATGTGGATCGGGAAACAACTTTTACCCTCTCATAGTTGTAGCAACAAGTGAGGGCATCGCAAGCTGATTGGTGGGAGATTCAGAACAAATAACGGGTTTTTTTTTCACTCAACACGTCGTAAATGTTTCACTACAAGGTGTAATGATGGCCACCAACTTGGATGGGAATGAGCATATTCATGGAGGATCATGCCTTGAGTGGCTAGTAATCCGTGGCTGTCCGCTGTCTCCAGGATCCGGGGCCGTGCGCTTATGTACGCGAGTTGCACTCACATCTGACTGTGGGGTTTCTGTGCGCAACTGCTTGGTCGCTGTGGTAGAAAAATGAAGGACAAGATGGTCCCTTGGCCTGATTCAGCAGGGCTGTTCGAAGGGTCCCACATTCCCTAATGCCTGTTTTGGTCGTATAACGCCTGTGTTACTGGGTATTTGGTTGTGGTGTGTAAAATGCTGACAATATATGTAGATAGAGAGACTAACTTTCCAGTTTACTTAGAGTTCTGTGTAACCACTAAGCTTGCATAGTTTTTAAGCGAGAGGAGATAATCCTTTAAAGTGATCATCTCAGATAATTCATGAAAATGCACTGCATTTGTGAAGCTCACCAAGTGGTTGTTTTTGTTTTCCCCACAGATCATCCGCCAAGTCTTCAAAACCACTCAAGGCTTCGAACTCCCCCACCGCCACTTTCACACGCACACACGCCAAACCAGCATCACGCGGCCTCCATTAATTCCCTAAATCGAGGGAACTTCACTCCGCGCAGCAATCCTAGCCCTGCTCCCACAGACCACTCCCTTTCCGGAGAGCAGCCGGCTGGGACGCAAGAGTCGACACACGCTCAGGACAACTGGTTACTTAACAGTAACATCCCCCTTGAGACAAGGTAAACCCTATTTTGTTCCATTGTGATAAGATGCTGTCTTTACGCAAGTTTCTAGTCCTCACCGCTGTGGAGAAAAGCCTGGAAATACATCCGAGGCTGCTGGTGATTGCTCAGAGTGCATCTTGAAGGGTATTACAATCATGGAAGGTAACATTCTATGCCGCCCAGCTCTTTATCTCCAACCATGGATGCACTTTCTTACCAGCATTCTGACAATCTGATGCTCCTGGCAATCCATGCATTCTTTCTCTGAACCGAACTTTGGCATGTGTGGTTGCACTAATTCTGGCCGCAGCTCCGTGTAACTCAGTATGGGCAGCAGCTGATGGATCAAGGCCAACGAACGGAATTGTGCTAAATGGATAAGTGTTTGCGATGTGTTCCCTTTTCAGATTTGAATGTGGGACATCTCTGTGTGCAGGTATGACATGCATCCAACCCCTGTGGTCCCTGAGGATTTGGGGTTGGCATCGGGCCCATGCCAAGGTCTGATGCAGTCCCTTCCTCCCAGTACACCTCATCATCATAACCTTCCGGCGGCAGTCTTCTCCCCAGGAGAACGCCCTTCCAAAATGGTGCTGAATGCATCCATTTTGTTACAGAGTCCTCCTTCTAGGGTGCTTAGGGCACCTGGTTCCAGGTAAAGTCTATATAACATGTGCATGGGAGCAATGTGAAAAGCCAGAGTGCCGTCGAGTCCAGCAAGCCTCTTCTGCATCATTGGTCACCCAGAGTGCAATTTCTTGCAGCCCCAGCAACTGGTATTCACTCGGTATTGTCAGTACCACTTCTCCAACAAGAGCAGGTGAAATAAAGGGTTGGGAGGGAGCCTCCTTTCTTGGATAAAATACGTCCTGGCTTTGTGGCACCTACTTTTTGCCCCCTGAATTCACCCCCTGAGGTAGGGCCTTCCCTTCCCATAGTCAAGCTCATCTTGACTGCGTCCCGGAGCTGTGTGGTGAGGCCCAGGTTTCCACACAGTGTTCTCTGGCGTCTTGTTTGCTTTTACGTGCATCCAAAGCCCGAATGGGTTTGCTAAATGTTTCATGTGAAGGTGGACCTTTGGGCGGGTTCAGACAAGGCGCATTCCTCAACATGCAAGCAGCCCCACGTTTCCAGTTACGCATCCGTGCAAACCAGCCTGCACCATCCTGATGCCTTCCAAATATATTCGAGTGCTGCTCCCAAGTATGACCATGCTGGTTGGGAATGATAGGAATCGCAGTCTAACACATCTGGAGAACACCGGAGTCGGGAAAGCTCCTGTAGACAGTTCTGTCCAAATTAATGATAGATGGGTCATTCTGTTTCCTGCCCATAACAGTTTCACGTGTTCCTTTGCATTACTTGGACCCATAATTCTTTAGTTTAAACAAATTATACAGCATTTGCAATACTTTTAAATTATTTTTACAAAGTAAGCACTTTTGTGTGCATTTGATCTCACATATTTTGTGTGTGTGTTTTCTCCTACCATGCATTTTTACTTGCATTTGAACCCAAAACATGTACGTCTGTCCACATTTTGGTACTTTTTCAGAAAAACCATGCTGGATCAGACCAAGGGTGCTTTCAACTCCACCAGCTTTCAGTTCTGCCTATGGCAAACCCGCAAGGGGGACATGCAGTAGCATCCTACCAATCAGTTTTCCTAAAAATGAGGACACTGTAAAGTCCTCAAACAGTGTTTGTGTCTGAATCCCCCACAGCAACTCCGTGACTACAGAAAAACTGCGTCAGAAAAAGTGGTAGTATCGCTGTTAGTGGCAGTTGTATGGTACTGCATTTATACCCAGTCTTTCTTCCACTTCGAAGGAACCCAAGGTGGCTTTCAAAGTTTTCTCCTCCATTTTATCCTCACAACAACAGAGTTGTGAGGTAGGTTCAATTGAGTAACTGGCCCAGAATCACCCAATGGGCTGCATGGCTGAGTAGGGTCTCGAACCCGGATCTCTTGAGTGCCAGTCACACACTCTTAACCACTACACCACACTGTTTCCCACTCTGTATCATTTCCGCTGGGCTACCTTCTATATTTGTTCTCAACAGGTATTGGTAGCTTAAGGCACTTGAGCTCCCATCAGCCCCAGCCAGCCCAGTCAATTGTGAGGGATCATGGGGCCCAAACATCTGAGTGACCCCAAGTTGCTGGCACCTGCTCTAAACAAAGGTCTATCAGTCCAGGCTTCTCAGATGTCAAAAGTCTGTTGGCTTAAACCAGGAGTGAGCAACATTCTCTCCATTCAAGTGAGAATGTGGAGAATTCTCTCCACATTTACACAAAGATAATATTTCAAAGCTTTCATGTGGGTGGGAGGAACGAGGGTCGGCAAGACCCAGAGCTCGGTCACCCGCACCCTCTGTAAAGTTTGACACCATCTTTCTCTCCCTCGAGGGAGAGCAGAGTGCAGGCTTGTGACGAGCTAAAAAAAGAGAATGTGATACCTTATTTAAGAGAGATGGAAAAACCGCTTGTTTTGGCTGTCCTTCCAGCAGCAGGTCTGCTGGACTGGAAGCTCTTTGACCGTTGTTGGTGCCATTGTGGCATTTTAATGGGATTGCAATACACTTGCTTTCATTATTGTTTTAATCCAGTAAATAACAACATTCCCTGGACTGCAATCTGTATCTTTCTCTCTCTTAAGTTCATGACCACCACACTCGATTTCCAGTACGCAAAAACATGAGCAGCCCATACATTCTTACACACCAGACACGTCTCATTTACACACACATGGTGGAAGGGGGAGAGAGAGAGAGAGATTTTCTCTTTCTTTCACTGTAGACACACAGCTCTCACAACGCAGAGAAAGAGGCACAAGCTTAGCTTTTGAGAGTACAGATCTGTCTGTAACTGTGCTTTCCAAACTCTTTTCTTTCATTGCTCAAATACAAAACTAGAATGGAGTTAAAATGCCTGGGCAAATACTAATGTTCTGAACTGGTGCAGAAAGAATAGTGCCTTGCACCACTGAAGAGCCACCAATGCTTCCCTTGGGAGTGCCTTGCACCATTGGAGAGCCACCATAGCAAAGAGACTATTTTTCTTGGATGGGCAGCATTCCTCTCGGACAGATGGACTCCAAGAAAGATGATCGAAATGATCTTACCATACAAGCAAGTTAATGGAAGAAGAATTTGTGTCTCAAGCTGCTTTGAGTTTTAGCAGAGGCATCAGCATCTTGAATTGGGCTCAGAAGCAAGGAGCGGCTGGTACGGATCTTTCAGAATTGATGGTTCCACCCAGATGGACCAGTCAGTCTTCTACCAGCTGAATTCTGCACGACTTGGGACTTCTGATTCAAGGGCAGCCCTGTACATTATGTGGTAGGCTATCTGCTTTACCTAGCATGGCCTTAATTCCACCTCTGCTGGAATTATGACCATACAAAGCCATAGACCATCTAGCTCAGAGCACCTTGATGTGGCAGGCAGGAAGTACCAGGCGATGCTTTCTTAGCTCACCTACCAAGAAATTTTACCTGGAGATGCTGAGAATTGTAACTATAACCTTCTCCATGCAAAGTATCTGTTGCGGTGCTTGGCATGGTCTCAGGTGTCCTTGTGCCACTGGAATCATCTTCAGAAGAGAAGCCTGAATCTTCAGGGCTGGTTGGCTGGTTGGCCCCTCAGAAGAACCTGGCAGAAGCCAAGACCGTCCAGCAGCCTCAAGCCGTCCAACACCTTTGAATCTGCCTCCTGAAGAAGCAGAGAACAGAAGGGGCATGTTGAGCTCCCACCTCACCCCAGAACGCTTGCATCTTAAGACAGGTCAGCAGCCAGGCCCAGGAGTGCTACTGTACCAAAGAGGACCACTCATCATGTAGTCTGTTAGGAGTAGGACATCTGAGAAGTTTCAAACATGGTGCAGGGAAGCATCGGTAGGACTTTGATTACGTCAACACCGACTCATCCCTGCTGGAAACAGTGCCTGAATTTCAGCCCCAGTCTCCACAGCTTCTTTTTCCCTGACCTTGCTGTGTGTTTGGACCTCTGTAATACTGACCCCTGGCCTTCTGCCCAAGTGCTTTTGGATTGCATTTTGGCCTGAAAAACCCCCACGGGCCTGTGCTTAGCTTGGCTTAGAATGGGGCATGTGAAGCTGAAGCTGCTGAATGTGCTGGGATGGTCCATTTACACCTATATTGCCCGTTCAGGATGCCAGAAGGCTCAAGACATCGTCCATCCCATCACCCGTGTCGTGGCATTCATAGAATCGAATCCAAGTATGCACTTGGCTCCAGAGCCTTGCCTGCTTTCAGCACAGTTGAAAAAACTTGCACGGTTTTCCCTTTTCTTTGTTTTTTTATAGCAGCTCCATAGCTTATTCCTGACGCAGCTTTGCTTGGACGAAGAGAAGAGGAAATTGCCTTGCAGCCGTCTTTCGCAGTTTGAAAATATAATCGGCATTAACAGTAGCTTGTAAGGCTATTTCCCCCATTTAAAACGGGTATGAGAAACATAAATTCAAAATGGGCTTACGTGTGCGTATGCTCCTCTGTATAGCTTCTTCCCCCGAAGCAAAATAAATCAATATCCTATTTAAGAAACTGAAATCAGTCAATATATTGAAAAGATTTAGCCTCCTAGCTGTGCCAGTCGCAGTGAGTATAATTGTCGTCTACATCGCATGCGAACTTGATCTTGTTAAGATGTAATGGGGAAGATGTCGTGGACTGCATTTTTCTCTCTCTGAAATATTGCCCCAGCAAGTCTGGAACCCTGCAAAGCACCACATCAGTCAATTAGCATCGTTTTCCATTAGTCTTCCCCCCACACCCCCCGCATTCCTTTGCCACATCTCTCTTCCCTCCTTCTGCCTTTGGATAATTGCATGTTTGCAGGTTAGTCTTTATTGCTGCTAAGAAGCTCCATCTCTTTTAAACTCAAGCAGAATGTCTTCAGAAGCAGCGGCAGATGTATAGAGTTTTTGGGCTTCTCTAAGGAGCTTTAATTTGGGGGTGGGGAGTAGGGGGGCAGTTTGACTGCTTTTGCCTCCT